TCGCTTGGGCTTCAGTTTCGGGACGGGGAGGGATTCCTGTTTTGCTTTTGGGGTCATTTTCGGAAAGACTGGGATAATCTTTACAAGAGAAGCTCACCTGGTATGTTCTCCTGTGGGCACAGCTGGTTGGTTCAAGCACCCCCCACTTTCTTTCTTTTGGTTAGTTACCCAACAACTAACCCACAGTGCCCCCAGCACTTCAGGGTTACCATAACGAGACCTACAACCAAATCCACGGCTGAGTCAATTTCGACTCATCCTGACCCTAACTCAGTTTCTGAGGCTGTAAACATTTACATACAGGCTCATCTTTCTCCCTGGAGAAAAGTAGCTTGTGGCTTTGAACTGCTGACCTAATTCCTAACTCACAGTGTGGGCCCAGCAATTCTACTCCTAGGTTTGTATACCCAAAAAAGAATTGAAAACATTTGTCACACAAACACATGTTTATAGCAGCGTTATTCATAATAACACATAAGTTGAAACAATATAATACCCATCAAGTGACACACAGGAAAACAAAATGTGATCTATAACTGCACAATGTAGTATTATCGAACCATAGAAAGGAAGCATTGATTTATGCTACAACACAGATGAGCCAGTCACAAAAGACCACATATTATTTGATTTGATTTCTATGAAAAGTCCGCCAATAGTGATAGAAAGTGGATTACTGGTTTGCCATGGGCTTGAGGGGCTTGCAGGAGTGACTGCCTGCTCATGGACACGGAGTTTCTTTTTGTGTTGATGAAATGGTCTATAATTGGTTTGTGGTACACAGTTATGTAAACACACGCCAAATCATCGAATTATATACATTAAAGGGTTAACGTACATGTCAGTCATATTTCAATCAGGCCGTTTTAAAAATACTTTTACAAACTTTTACAAAACTCTGAGCCATGATGTTTTTCAGTGACCCATTTATTCAAAGTGACATTAGAGAACTAAAAAATAGCAGAGTAAAGGAAAGAAAAAGACATTTTGTAGTAACATTTGTACATACAGTAAGTGAAGTAGCTTATCTTGATCACACCATACCGATTTCCTACATCCTCCCCGATCAGAGATCAGGATCTTTCTATAACCTATCCTTTTACTTCCCTGGTCCTATTTTGCCTGAGGTCAGGTCTTACCTGCTTTCTAACTGGTCAGGCTGCTCTACTGTCAACTCTGAGTGAACTTCCTCAAACAGGAACCACATTAGATTAATCCTCCATTAAACAGGGTCAGCATCTTGGTTTCTGTTTGAAATTTCCCATAATGAAAACGTGATTTGCAGTGCTGGTTCTCCAGCATAAAGTTCAAGTTCTCTAGCTGTCTGCCATGCACAGATCCTTCACACCGGCTCCAGCTACATCCCCGACATCCTCCTTCTCCCCTCACACACCACTTAGGCTGTTGCACCCTCCAACTTCTCACCTATCACAAATATGTCTGTACTGCCCAGTCTCAGCACCCGTTGGTCCCTCGAGTATACTGCAGCACCCTGTTGCCCTTCACTGCTGAGCTTAACACCTGCAATATTTATCTTACAAGATCCAGCTCTGTGCCCTCAAGCAAACTCCATTAGTCTCCAAGATACTGCCTCTGCCCTTCCCTTCCAAAATATTTCAGTGATTTGGTGTTTGTGAACACACCAGTCTGTCTCCCATCCATTAGCCTGGGAATTCCTTCAGGGCAAGGGATCCTCATTACGCAGAATAGGTCAAAACCATCCCTAGAAGAGTATGAGAATCATGTTTGGATTCTTAAAAGCCCACTAGCAGCTATTTAAGATAGAACTACTGGGCTCTGTTTATCTGGAGCAAAGGAGAAAAAAGAAGCCCCACGCAATAAAAAAGCAACCACACAACAGGATGAGCGGTCTCTATAAACCGCTGAGACCAGAAGAACTAGATGGTGCCCAGCTACCACTAACACTCAGATTAAGGTCACACTAAAGAGACTCCGCTAGAAAAGGGCAAAACTGGAACAGAACTTGAATTCTTAAAAGAATCCAGACGTCCTGTACCCATGGAGACTTGCGGCCTTCCATAAAGTATTACCCTGACCTACTCCGAGCCTTGAGGTGAGACTATCTCAGGAAGCCACCTTTTGATGGGAAAGCGGGCTGGCTCCAAAAGCACAGGAAGTCACCCTTGAGCACTGTGCCCTTTTAGAGCCATCTCGCTGGAATGACACTCATGAGGGGGGGGCACGATGTAAAGAACGTAACCAAGGTCATTGACTATTATGCGTAAGAATTGAGGAACGGAGGTGTTTCGCTGTATGCATTTTCACCAAAAATACATTGAAAACTACCTGTGAAAGACAAGACTTACACTCAAAAGCTAAGTTCAAACGTAAATTTCATTAAATAGATTTTCAAGAGAAACTATCCTAATGAATATCACAAACTAGCGTGGGGGCTAAACTATCAGTCAGACTCCTTAACTTGGTGTTGGTGTGACCATGTGGATTGTGTGCTTTGGGGCTTACGTAAATAAGAACCCAAACATACTGCTTATTATGACGAGGTGCTTACATTGGTTTGCATTTCTCTGCAAAGCTCCCTAGGCATGTACTTTTGTTAATTTGTGACAAACCTCAAAAACTTGGTTCCCACCAATATCCAAATGCAATATATACTTTGAAAGCGCTAAGAAATCAACAAGCCCCTTTCAAAGCTTCCCAACCGAGTCTTGTGTGTGTGGGGGGGGTTATCTGGATTGTTTCCCGGTGTGAAGAGTTGAAGGCATAGTATAATGTGTCATTTACCCTGAACGTAAGGGGAGGAGGGTTTCAGGATATTCACGGTGCAAAGCCTAGCCTTCTTTTGAAGGCTGGCACTGCCGATGAATAAATGCATGCACCTCCTTGAGGAAATTATTTACTCTGTGACTCAGTTGCACCTCTGTCAAATGAGAATAATTCCTACGTTATGAGTTTGTTCAGAAGATGTGAAAAAGTCAGAATTATTTCCTGGGATCGGGGTGAATTCCCCAGTAAGCAAGGTTAAGTAAGCCTGGGTGTATTTGTGCTTATTTCACCGATAGCGAACAACTTCACAAGTTTTAAACCCGTGTGAAATTGTTCACTACCTACTGGGACTCAACAAAGTTGGCACACAGGAAGTGGGATAAAACAGAACAGAGGGAACTGCCATCCGCAGAACTCTGGTTGCTTTAATAGCTGGGCACCCTGGTGCAAGTGGCACTGCTTCTCTGAGCTGCAGTTTCCTGGCCTGTGAGAGGGTCCATACCCATCACATAGTTGGCCTGAGCCACACATAGTATAGACAGCTAGCCCCGGTGCCGCCATTCCTACACACACACACACACACACACACACACACACACACGGAGGGCACGCAGGACGATAGGCATTTATATAGTTAGCCCCGGTGCCGCCATTCCTCTACACACACACACACACACACACACACACACACACACACGGAGGGCACGCAGGGCGATAGGCATTTGAGGCTTTCCAATCACGGCTGTCTTCATAATTAGGCTTTCCCTGGGAACGGCAAAGGACACAGATAAGAGCTGACCCTAAAACAGACCACTTCTCCAAATCCTCTCCTGCCCTTCCTAAGGTGTGTTTGTCTTTCTCGCAAGATGATCCGGCCATCTCCCTTTCAAAGGGAAGAAGGAAACACCAAAGGCTATTGACGCTCCTGCACTTTGACTTTCCAGACCGGGTCAGGAACCGTGCGCTGCTCCGCTTCAGTTAATGGGAACCATTTGTGTTCACTCTCCTTTGTTTCTCAGGATTCGCCTCACATTCCCCCACCAACCCCCTCACATAGTTCAGGCAACGTTGCTGCCCCTCAAAAAATGAAAGAATTTTACAGAACCATTGCAGGAGTGAGGAAACTGGCAAGGAAAATATAATTACTGCGAATCATAATGCAAAGTCAGACCTGATAATGGTATAGTGATGCATATTAGCCTTTCAAAATGCTTTCAGATTCATGATCTCATCTGAGCGTCACGAATTAAGTGTTGCTGGGTGTGATGATTGTGGAGATGAGGAAATGTAAACTTAAGCCCAAACCAGACCAAACCCTTGCAATGGAGTCTATTTAACTCATAGTGAAACCTATCATCAGATGGAGTAAAACAGTCCCATAGTTTATCTAAGGCTGTAAATCTTCATGGAATCAGGACAGCCTCAGCTTTCTCTGACACAGCAGCTTGGTGGATTCGAACCACCAGCCTTTCGGCTTAGCAGGCCAACTTTTAGTCCACTGCCCCAACAGGGCTCCTTACACTGAAGTGTAGAGAAGTTAAATAATTGTTGCCCGAGTCATGTTAGTTCTAAGTCAGGATTCAAACATGGATCAGGATGAATCTGAAGCTCGCACTGGTTCAACCATGTCAACGGAACTGCCTCTTAACAGGGACATGCTTGGCTGCTAACCTCAAGATCAAAAGTCTGAATCCGTCCACAGGTGCCTCAAAAGAAAGGCCTGGCTTTAGAAAGTAAGCAAGAAAGCTAAGATAGCCTAGTTCCCCAAAGGCAGCCCTTGAAAATCATTCTGGGCACAGCTCTACCCTGACACACATGGAGTTGGAGACTCAGCATGAACTCTGCAGCGAGTAGTTTATTCAGGATTTTAATTTATTCCTTTCACCTTTTGACTCACACACCAATTTTAATTATCTCAAAAGAAAATATTTGCACACCTCACTTATCCAAAGAGGTCACTTGGCCGGCAATTTCAACTACAGAGAACTCAGTTCAGAAGCCAGGAAATAAACAAAAACCCTAGCTTCTTAGCGACCGGAGAAAATACGAAGTCTGGTCACTGAAAATCGTAGGAGACCTTCAGGCTTGCACCCATGGGATTTCAGTGTCAAGCTTAATTATCTAGATTCTCGTGTCTATGTTGAAAAAGAGAGATGCACTGGGCACACATGAAAACCTGAACAACCTAACAATGAGAGGATTTCCAGAACATTCAATAACGTTAAGGCCAAAAGCCCACGACATAATTCACTTACGTTCCGACATCGGTGGTGAGACAACACAGATTCCCAAACTGGCCTTGGAAGAAGCACCGGTGATTTCACAAACTACAGAGTCCCGGGCCTACCCCAAAGCCTGTTGAGTCTGAGTCTCTGCAGACGGAGACTGAGAATCGGTAGTTCACACCAGACTGACCAAGTGACTGGCGGGGTTTGTGAAAGAATGACATGGCAGGCATTCCCATAAATAAAGGATTACGCCTCAAATAATATGCACCGAATTAAACTGACACCCAGGGTAGGCTTTCTCCATAAATATAACTGCCCACCCAGAGAAGAAGCCCTTGGCTCTGGCCTCATTAACACCATGCTGAGACCAACTGGGCTTGCCGGCCCAGACAACTGCACAGGAAAGGTCAAGAAAGCACCTAAAAGGGACCCAAAAGGGCCCTCAGTGGAAAGGGGCCTCAACTCTAGTTTTGGCATTGTCCCACAAAGACAGGTCGAGCCAACCTATGTCTCTCCTTGGTCAGAGCCAGTTGGGGAAGGAGATGGAGTGTGCAGGGAGAAGGGGAAGCAGTGTCAGACGAGGAGGAAAGAGAGGCTCACTGTTTGAGGGCAGTGTGCCGAGAGCTTACCAGAAACATGGCGGTTCACTGCTTTATTGCACTGCATGCAGGGGGCTAGGCTAGGCTTGTTCGCCAGTTGATTAATGAAAATCTGTTTCCAGATTCTGTGGCTTACATGGCAGATTAAGCGATTAAAGCCCAAGTTATTAAAAACACATACATTCTGAAAATCAAAACAGAGCAGCAAAAAAGAAGGGGGAAGTCGCTGGTTGTGCTTGCTTGCTTATTTCTGATTACTCAATTTCAGGTAAAAGGATATCGATCCAGCCAATTTCTCAGCATGCCGGACCTCGACATAGACCAAGAGGCTACCAGGCAAACAGAATCAAGAGATACTATGTGATTCAAATCGGGAAAGGCATTTGGCTGGTTTGTATCCTTCCACCATATGTATTCAATCTGTATTTTGAACAAAGAACTCAAGAAGCTGAACTATATGAAAAATAGCATGGCAGAAAGAGGGGAAGAACTAACTAGCGGCCACATGCGGACGGGGGTACAACCTCGCTGGCTGAAAGTGCACAGGCCCTGAAGCACTTCCTGATGAAGACTGACAGCTACAGCCTTCAGTAAGGTTTGCACCGCAGGGGAAAGGAACCAAAACTCCTCACAACTGGGTCAATAAGGAACACTATGATAAACAAGAAAAAAAATAGTGCAGTTGTCAAGCATTTCATTTTCCTGGATCCACCATCCATGCTCACGGAAGCAGCGGTCAAGAGATCAAACCGGGTACTGCACGCGGGAAATCTGATACGACACGGACCCCCTTTCTAAAAGTTAAAAAGCAACGAGGCCACTTTGAGGACAAAAGTGTGCCTGACCAAGGCCAAGGTCTTTTCGATTGCCTCATGTGCACGCAAAAGCTGGACAACAAATGGGGAAGAGCAAAGAGAATGGATGCCTAAGGTGTTAGCAGAGGACAATGAGTACACCATGAATTATCACAAGAACTCACCTATCTTGGAAGTACGGCCAGCATGTGGCCTAGAAGCAAGGATGAGGAGACTTTAGCTCACATACTTTGGCCATGTAATCAGGGCAGACCCAGACCCTGAAGAAGGACATCATGCTTGATAAAGTAGAGGATTATGGAAAAATAGGAAGCTCCGTAATGAGATGGATTGCCCCGGGGATACAGCAACGGGCTCAGCCACAGCAAAGGTTGGGGGGACGGTGCAGAACAAGCCAGTGTTTCAGGCGGTTGTACATGAAGTCTGCGTGAGTTGGAATCAATTTGAGGGCCCCTAACAAAAACAGCAAAATAAATCTCAGGAAGCAGGTGAAAGGACATACATCCCGCCAAGGAAAAAAATCAGCCAGTTTTGCAGCAAATTGGACTAACTCCAATAAAACACAGTGCTTACTGTCTCTCCAGAATTAACACCCACTTACACTAATTTTCGGCATTAAATCTTTTGTGGAAAAAAGATAGTAACAATTCGATTAATGACAGATGGTCTCAGGGAAGTTCTTGGTGTGGCAGGGTGGATCTACTCCATCGGCTCCAATCTCCATAGAAGCAAGTCTTGACTCCCCAGGAGCCACTGATCTTTCAGTTAGCCGCCAAGTGCTTCACCACTGCGCCACTGAGGTTCCTTTCTAAGAAAAGTGACCCCTAGGCAGGGAAGGCCATGAACAGAATGCACAGGACAAAACATGGCACCTGTCTTAACACTACCTACCTGCTATCCAAGTGGCTGGATTCAAAGGATGCGCCCAATAAATGCATTGGATCTGCTGAGCCTTATGCATTTGTGTGAAACCATGGACTGCCACGGGTTCTTGTCTTTGAAACCACTGTCTCAGACCTCAATCGGGTCCCTCAGAGTTCCCCTGCGAGAGAGCTAGCTCCAAATGAAAACAATGTCACAACGCTAACAGCTTCTACTCTCCTGACCAGAAGAAGAGTGGAGCTACGTTCACCTACCATGCTGACCCACATGGGGGAACTGGGAGATGTGCAGAGACAGGAGGGGCTCTCTGCAAAGTGAGTGTCAGGATTTTTCGATGAGCATGCCGGCTCCGGGCTCTCCAGATGAGGAAAGGAAAGAGCGCGGAAGACTCTCCGTCATGCACACCTGACCATTTCCAGTTCTCACACGCACTCTGGGCCCGGTGTTGAATTCCAGCCCTTTCTTCTCAGGCTTGGTTTTTTCATCACTCAATGGAGATAATCTCTTCAGAGGCATTACAGGGATGACTAAATGAGTAAATCCATTTAACTAAATTAAACTCATTAATTGAATTAATTTTAATGCAATTCCAGTCCAACAGAAATTAGGAAGATAGGAGTCGCACCTCCCTTGTTTGTGCAGGAATCCTCTCCATCACTTTCAGGTTCCCAGTATGCGCGATACAGGAGACGATGCACATTGAGTGACTGAAGGAAATCAAGATCATGTTCAGAAAAAGGGCCATGCAAGGATTTATAACTTTGCTGGCAAAGTTGTAAGCTATTCCTATCTGGGAAGGGTAGCTTTTTCAACAGGAGATGAACTCTCACTGGTGTGCTCTGACATCAGATTTCTCCAGGCCTTCAAACAAGTGGGAACTTGTGTAATTTTTTTTCCTTTTTCCACCAAGAATATAAGTTTCCTAGAAGGTATGTGAAACAAGTTCAATGACTTGCATATTTCTATTGCCATAACATTTACATAACACATCAGCTTTTATTTTTTTCCAGATATAAGGAGATGACGCTTGGAATATATTCCGGTGGGAGAATACACAGAACTCTGCGTTCTCGTCTAAATATATTAGTGCCCTGTAATCCAGACCATATGATCAATAAACTCTATAAAAATTAAATCATACTGACAGTCTCAGGCAAAAAAGTGAACCAAGTAGAATTTTTAAGGCTGTGGGGTGCGGAATATTAAAATCACATGTTATGTTATTAATTTTCCTCTGGAAGCTAAAAAGAATTCTCCTGCTTAAATTTCCCAATTAAATATTTACCTTTTCAAACAGCTTTTCCTATTTAAAGTGTCAGAGAAGCATTTAATTTGGTGATATGGTACTTCAGGCTGCACTCAGGAGAGACACTGATCAATAAATCACTTTTGAAAATGACTCTGTTGACATGGCTTTAATGTTAGGGTATATATACTCAGGTCCCTTGAAATGAGTAGCTAGATGCCTCTTATAATAAAATAAGAGCCCTGATGGTAAACAAAGCCATTTGTTCAAATATTAGTCCACCGCGAATAAACACAACAATCAGCTAGGCTTGTTTACATTCACTTTATGGGGACAGGAGCTAGCTGGGACAGATGAAAACCTGAACACACACACACACACACACTTGACTTTTGCTGGCCAATGGGCAACAGACTGTCTCTGGCTTTCTGTGAGCCTGGCACCCTAGAGCTGGTAGGTGTGTCTTCCTGCAAACCCCTTCACATTTCTTTTTCCCCTGGTAACAAGATACACACCAGCTCTTTGGATGGCCTTTTGAAACCAGAGTAGAGGGAGGGAGGGGAACAATGAACCCGCGCTAAAGCCGTCAGGCACGTTCTCCTCGGCTTCCCTCCTCACAAAGCGCTTCCGAGACCCGGGGAGGCACAGGTGCACGGGCGGTTTCCTGGGCTCCTCAAAGAACTTGCCCTCCCACAGGCAAAAAGAGAATGTAAACACAGGGAGACCCGGGCAAGTGGATAGTCAACAGCTAGCGGGGATTTAGCGGTTCCTTACACTCCCCTGGCACCAAGGAGGGGCTTTTGAAAAAGACAATGGTCTGGTTTGGAGACTTTCATTTAAATACTAATCTGCCCCACAGATCTGTGCATAATAATGAACCCGGCTCCGGCGGGAAGGCAGCCCCACCCCCCACCCCCGCCCAGTGGCAATCCTTTACATACATCGCATCTTTTAGTTTGATTTCTACTGAGGGAGGGGGCAATGGGGCACGCCGCCTCCACCGTAGCGACCTTTCCACACAGCACAATTTTACTTTCAGCCACCTCTCTTTTAGGTTAACCTTTTTTTTTTCTTTTTAAACTCTGGCAGTCCCATCTTGCTTTCCCGATGTCCCAGAGACCATCAAGCGCCACAGGTAGGGAGAGAGAAGGTGCCTGAGTAAGGACCGGCCCAGGCCAGGGAGCCTCCAGTTCACACATGCCGCACAGGCAAATCCACCCCAAGGGGCACTTAAGTCTCTGTGCAGGAGTGCTATTTTAAGGGACCTGGAAGAGGGAATACAGATGTTTCTTCAGTTAGCAAAGTTGGCAGAACAGGCGCCTGGACCTAATCCGAGTTCTTAATGCAGGAAGGGGCCCCGGAGAGCTGCTGGTTCAACGTAGTCATTCAACAGATGAGGAAACTGAGGCCTGCGGAATAGCTGGGTGGCACACCCAGCAAGTAGCAAAGGGGCAGTCTTCTGGTGGCCGGTCTTGCACGCTTTCTACACCCCGAGACTCTCTTTTAAAAG